GAAGAGGAAATTGGGGATTTCTACAAAATTTTACAGTCAGAAATTGATCAAACATGCAATCAATATGCTTTAATAACTATGAGAGACTGGAGTGCAAAAGTTGGAATCAATGAAGGAATGATAATCAGAAAGCATGGACTTAATGACAGAGATAAAACAGGAGAGTAGACGATTGAATTTTGTACATTAAGTGATTTATTAATAGCAAATACTATATTTTTTTAAATTTTTTTAATTACTATTTGTGTGTGTGTACCATCAAATCGGATCAGACTGGTATAGGAGGAGATTGTCCTTCCTTCTCTAGCAGAGTATCTGGTGGATTCGAACCACACTCCTCTGGGATTGCAGTGGAGCTTCTTGCTACTGGGCCACCAGAACTTGCCAGAAAATTCTATTTTTAAGAAACACCAAAGGGATATTTGCTGTATAATAAGCCTAAATATACCTTAAAGTGAGATGTTGGGCTGCTAACCAAAGGTCAGCAGTTGGAAACCACCAGTGGTTCTGTGGGCAAAAGATACTACAATCTCCTCTCATAGATAAATGTTTACAAAAGCCTCAGAAATCCACTGAGGCAATTCTCTGTCCTGTAGGGTCTTATGAGTTGAAATCAACTTCACTACTGTGGATAGCTTGGGAGAACTAGCTTATCTAGAAACTTCTTAAGTTTAGTTCAATACTGTACTGAATATAGAACCTAGAAATGAACTCTTTTAATCTCTTGAGAAACAGAATGATTCATGAAGTACACTAAGCTATAAACTACAATTTAGTAGAACAACTCCCTCCAAATCATTAAAAAATTTTTGTTATGGATTCTATAATGTTCCTAGCTTTTTTAAAAATGAATTTTATAGTCTGTGTCTTTACTTCAAGGTTCCTGATCCACCTTTGGTTGATTTTTGTAAGTCTTGTTTAAGTATTCTTCAGATCGTTTTCTAGTGTTTTCAAGACCATTTGTCAAAGAGTCTGTCATTTACCCACTTAACTGGTTCACTGATTTCGTATCCTTGTTGTTGACCATAGATGGACAAGCTCATTTCTGGGTTCTCAGCTCCATTACATTGGTCTATTCATCTGTCACTGTACCAATACTATGCTGTCTTGATTACCACAGATGTGTAAGTAGGTTTTATGATTAGGGTGTGTGAGGTCTCCTATTTGCTTATTTAAGATCTCTTTTCATTCCAGACAAAATTTGAAATTCCCTTTTCCATCTTGTTGAAGAATTGAATGGTATCTGCATTGAGATTGCATTGAACTTGTAGATTGCCTTTGGTAGAATCATCATTTTCATGATACTGAGTTTATTATCCATGAGTATGGTATATTCTTCCATTTTTATAAGCCTCCTATAGTTTCTTAGAGGAATGTTTTATAATTTCTTTGTAGAGGCCTTTTGTGTCTCTAGTTAGAATTGTTCCTGAGTATTTCATTTTCTGATTAAGTATTGTAATTGGTATTGTTTTTCTTAGTTCCATTTCAATATTCTCTTTGTTATAAGTTGGAGAAATCCAACTGATTTTTGCATGTTTATCTTGTATCCTTCTACTTAGCTGAATTTGTCGACTAAGTCCAATAAGTTCCTTGCTGAATCTTTAGGGTTTTCTAAACATACTATCATATCATGATATGCATATAGAGATAGCATATATCATCTGCATATAGAGATAGTTACCCTCTCTTTATCCATTGTATGCCTTTTATTTCCTTCTTTTGCCTTATTGCTCTTGCTAAAACTTTCACTATAATATTGAGTAGTGATAATTGGCATCCTTGCATAGTTCTTGTTCTCAAGGGGAACACTTTAAATATTTTTCCATTTAAAATTATGTTAGCTCTTGGTTTTGCATATATACTATTCACTATGTTGAGGAGGTTTCCTTCTATTCCTATTTTATTGAGTGTTTTAATCAGGAAGGGGTGTTGGATTTTGTCAAAAAGATTTTCCTGCATCAATAGATAAGATCAAGTGACTCTTGTTCTTTGCTTTGTCAAAATGATGACTTGATTGTTTTTTCATACCTGTTACAAATCTCATTTGGTCATGATGATTTTTTTTAACATATATACTGTTGGATTCTATTGGGAAAGATTTTGTTGAGGATTTTCACATCTCTGATCATGAGAGATATTTGTCTATAGTTTTATATTTTGGTGTATTTGTATAGCTTTTGTACCAGGGATATGTTTGCTTCCTAGGATGAGTTTTAGAGTATTCAATTTTTTCTGGTTTCTGAAATAATTATGCAGACTTGGTGATAGATTTTTCTCTTAATATTTAGTAAAATTCACTAGTAAAATCATCTGGTCCCGTGAGACCTTCTACGAATCAAATCCCTATGCATATCAAAATAGTTTTCCAAAAGGTAAAAAGAAAACTCACAAACGAAAAAAAAAATATTTGGCAATGACATATCTGATGAGAAACCATAAATAAAATTTACAAATTACTTAAGCATCTCAAGAAGAAAAAAGTAAACAATCACAAAATGAGCACAAGCTACAAATAAACACTTCAGAGAAGTTTATATGGCAAAAAAATGCATGCAGAAATATACAAAATATCTAGCTAATAGAGAGATGTAAATTAAAATAACTGTACGATATTATCTCCCCTCCAGAAACAATAGCAAAATTCCACAGAGCAGCAAAAACCCCAAGCATTGGTAAGGTTTTAGTGAAACTGGAACTCTTATTCACTACTGATGGGAATGTAAAATGATACAGTCACTATGCAAGGTGGTTTGGCTCTTTCTCAATATGTTGAAAATAGAAATAGCATTTGACGCAGCTATCCTGGGAAAATATCCTCAAAAAAGCAGAACCGTGACTCAAACAGATGTATGCCCACCCATGTATATAGTGGTGTTGTTCATAATAGTGAGGAGATGGAAGCACCCCAACTATCCACCTACAAAGAAACAGGTTGAAACCTGTGGTACTATGCAGATTTCATTCTGAACTCCTGTCATGACAATAATACTTAATCATATATCCCTTTTAAACAATTCTCTCCCTTATCTGTCTCAATGCAGTATACATGATTGTATAACAATGAAAGAATTTTTCTTTTACTTTTCAAAGAGAAGAGTGAACTACGGGGAAAGGGTGGGCAGGGAGAAAAGTGCAACGATGAATGAATGGAAACCCAAAGTCTCTATAAACTTTCATTAAAATTAATAATTAAAAAGAAGAAAAACTGGTACAAAGAAATGGACTGAAAAACTGTGGTACAGTTATACAATAGAATACTACAAACCATTGAGAAACAATGAACTTATGAAACAAATATGACACAACATGGGTGAGACTGGAAGACGTTATGCTGAGTGAAGTGTCTCAAACACAAAAGGACAAATAATGCATAACACCATTGTTACAAAATAGGACTAATGTGGTTGGTTGGTAGGATAATAGGAAAAGAGCGGCTTGATAATGAACACTGCATTGAAACAAATGAGGGGAAGCACTGTCTGAAAGGAATTATGATTAAGCATTTCATGTATGTCAACAATCTTGAGCAAGAGTTGCATTACAAAGTGGACTGAGGGAGAAGGAAGAGAAGAGAATGGAGAATGTGTAACAGTGGATAAATGAAACACCAGCAAACTTCTATCAAAATGACATTAAATTTTTTAAAAAAATAAAATTGTTCAAGGACTTAACATTTTTTAAATTGTTTTTATTATACTAGTTTATTTACAAAATTCTAATACATTGTTTTTCAGACCAGATTCTTCCAATTTCCCTCAATGCCCCCATCCAAATGTGTTACCCCATGATTAATCTACTCCTCTGTCCCCTGTACATCCTTATTCCTCTGCTTTCACCTCCCTCTTTGAGTCCTCATACTCATTCTACAAAAATGGTTTTATACAATATTTGTCCTTGTGGGACTAAGTTAGTGTACTCAGCATAATGCTCTCCAGTCCCTTCCAAGATAGGTAATAATTTACAAAATCATTACTGCTGCGTGCTGCATATTCATCTATTGTATAAATGTACCATAATTTCTCAAACCACTCAGTTGTGATTGGACATCTGGGCTGTTCTTATGTTCTTGCGATGGTGAATAACGCTGCTAGGAGCATTGGTGTACAAGTCTCCATTTGTGTCTCAGTTCTCATAGTCTCAGGGTATATTCCAAGTAGTGGAATAGCTGGGTTGTATGGAATTTCTATATTTAGCTTTTTGAGGAAGTGCCAAACTGCCTTCCAGAATGGCTGTACCATTTCACAATCCCAACAACAATATGTAAGAGTTCCAATCTTTCGACATCCTCTCCAACATTTACTATTTGTTGAAGGACTTAGATTTTTAAAATTATTGGCAGGTAAAATTTGCCGCTTAGCTTAAAAGACATTGTTGTTGTTAAGTGATGTTGAGTTATAGAGGACTCATAGTGTCTCTATGAACTAAAGACCTGAACGCTTGTATAACTTTTATCATTTATCCAAGTTCATAGAGTTTCTGGAGGCAAGCTATTCTGGAAGTGGATGCCACTCCTGCTTCCAAGCTTGTTTTAATCAGAGAGCTCTATCAAATATAGGCATTGTTTATACTATAACACTAAGATTTTCTCATAAAAATCTGTTTCTACTGATATGAAGGACCTCTGATGACTTGGTAGTTAAGAAGATGCACTTGGAACTTATAGACAAGCAGTTCAAAACTACTATCTGCTCCATGCTCCATGGGAGAAAAAGGGGTATTCTCTTCTGAAAACCCACATGAAGGTTAGCTTTGAGTTGATTTCAACTTGAAAATGCATAATAATAACAAGAACTACAGATGTGATGTACCTGAAGCAGGGTTAAGTTTATAAATGTTACCAGTTACCACAGCTGCCCATATAATTAATGTTTACATAAATGGTTAAAACATGCACAGTATATAGAGGTGGTGGAAGCTGCAGCTCATTTAATTTTATAAAATTAATTACTTGAATAAAATCTCTTAAAATAGTAATTTCTTGATATCTTCAACTCCTACAGAGATAAATCAAAAGGGTTTTGTAGGCTGTCTCAAGGATGTGTTTTTTATGAAGCATTTTAATCCCTCTGTTATCTGGGAACCTCTGGAGTGGGAGGATTATGAAGAGAAAATCAACGTGTATAACAGCTGGGAGGGATGCCCCACTTCAGTGAAAGAAGGAGCTCGGTTCCTAGGAAGAGGTAAGGTTCTAAAAAAGACATCTATAGTTATTCACTGTGTTTCTGGTTAGTGAGTATATTTAAATTTCTCCTGTTAAGTTCTCAAACCTCATCTGGAACTAGTATACACAAAAAGATTTGGTTATGCCTCAATACACATAGATATTTTCCTCAATGTTTGCCTATGTAGGAAACACCATAAAACTCAAAACTATATTAATTGGGGCTATGGTAGGGCTTGGTTAGCACATGTTAGTGTAGCAAAAATCTATTTGTAATCTAAATGTTGCCTGGAAATCAGAGTGCAGTCTTACACAGATGATTAAAAAGAGGTGTGGGTTTTTTTTTTAACAAGTTAATACACAAAGACTTGGATATTCCATTCTGCAGCTGATGTGATATTACTAAAAGTAAAATTTCAGCTCTGCAAAGTGTCAGATAAGTCATTGAGGGAAACCTGAGAATAGCCCCACTGTCCAAAGATCAAAAGCTTCAGTAAAATGTTGAGATGTAGCATATATGGCGTATCTCTTCATTCATATTCTCAACATTGGCAGTTGTCCAAGGTGAATGGATGAAAGGACATATGATTTGGTGGGCAGATCTGTTCTCCAAATGAAAACTCACCACACCATCTACATGTTTAACTAAGTTATTTACTATCTATATGTATTTTTTTAATTGCCTTTGGAATAGAAATCTAAACAATGTCATAAACTCTGCTGCTTTTTTCCTTGTTCTTTTCTCATTATTCACTAAGTTCCTCTTGACCAGTGTAACAGTCATTTCAATTCATTCTGTCGCTTTTGTCCAATTACAAAAGGGATTTTTAACACTGATCTGAATCTTCTGTTGTAAGAGATTTACTCAAGTGTACGTCTTAGATTCTTATAATATACTTAGGATGGCAGTGATAATACATTGTTGATGCCAGATAGGGCTGAATTTGTTTCAAGTCACAGCAATATAATATAACAGAAGAATTGCCCCAGAGATTTTCCTAGGACATGATCTTAATGTGAGCAAGTATCCAGATTTTTTGTTTGTTTGTTTGTTTGCTTTTCCCCCTCTGAAGTGTTTTGAAGGGTTCAAATTGCAAACCTTTCTTAGTGAGTGCTTAGCTAGTGTACCACCAGGACTCCTTGATAGTACATTGTTGTTGTCATTGTACTTAGGTATCATCAAATCAACTACCACTCGATTCAAAAAGACCCCATCTACAACAAATGTGAACTATGCTCTATCCTGTGCCATCTTCCTGATCACTGTATGCTTGAGCACATTCTTAAGGTCAATGGGTCAGCCTATCTTGTTGAAGATCTTCCTCACTTTCTCTTACTCTCCATCTTTTCCAACATTAGGCATACTAATATGTATATTTTCTTATCTTTAAAGGGTTCCTGGAGCTTTCTTCATACGTATTTCATGGTGGAATGGACTTTGAGATTTCCTTTAAGTTCCAAACTGACCAACTGAATGGACTGCTTCTTTTTGTTTACAACAAAGATGGACCTGATTTTCTTGCTGTATGTTACTTTGATTTTGCTCTAAAATGCTGACTCAAGATATACAAATCATGTGTTAAAGTCATATACAATTAAGGTTACTTTGCAGATTTTTTTTATTATTTCTACATCCAACTAATTATAGATTTTTGGAATCCTGTCAGTTTGTATTACCAGATCACTATTTTTAATGATGATTATAACTCTTGAATTTATAATTCTGTCAAAATCTATTAGAAACTAAAATAGTTAAAGCACTCCAATTTTGTCATGGCAGATTTGGGATTCTAAGATATTTTCGTTTTATTTCTTTTGTACATTTCTAGATTATGTACTATCAGTTTGAGATATATATATAATATATATGTGATAAATATCTATAAGATAAATGGAATTTCATTCCTTTAGAGGACTTAGTAATTTTTTTTTCATATGTTGTTGTCATTACATGCTGTTGAGTTGCCTGCGACACATAGTAACCCTATTTCCAGCAGCTCTGAAGCTTACCGTGTCCTGGGCTAGTCTCACTGATTCTGAAACACCTGCTGTCATTGCCCATTTTCTCTTTTGTTTGTTATTGGTCTTCCCAACTGTGATAATACAGGGAACTGGGCTATCTTCTTTATAGTTGCACCGTTATGACCTAACTTGATTATTAAGTAAATACTCAATACTTACTTGAGCATGCTTTAGCCATTATACATGGAAAATAAGAAGCATGGGAAAAGGAAGTTATCAGTGAGATGGATTGATACAGGGACTGTAGCAATAAGCTTGAGAATGGCAGAGAATAGTGTAGGATAGGACAAGGTTTTGACCTGCTGTCCACAGGGTGGATATGAGTCATAGTTAACTTGATAGCACTTAATAACAACAAAAGTATGGTTTGCTGAATGAGTGAACCTGTGAATGACTTTATACTGTGGTAACTCTTATAAAATTGCTCCTTCTCTTTGCGGGCACTGACAACTCACTGGAAGAGATTTATATTTGTTCTCATTTCCCAAAAGAGTGATCCAACAGAATGTGGAAATTATTGAATATTATTATTATTATCACAGTCAAGTAAAATCATGCTGAAGATCATTTTTTTAAGTGACTAGAACTGTATATCATTAGAAAACTGCCACAAATTCAAGGTAGATTAGGAAGTGGCCATGACATCAGAGATATTAATGCTAATGTCGGAGGATCTTGGCTGAAAGAAGAAAATACCAGAAGGATGTCTATTTGTGTTTTGTTTACAATATAAAGGCATTTGATGCATGTACTATAATATATTATAGCTAATATTGGGAAGAATGAAATTCCCAGAACATATAATTATGTTCTTACAAAACCCAGATAGATCAAGAAGCGATTGCCTGAAAAGAACAAGAGAACACTGCATGGTTTAAAATCAGCAAAGATATGTGCCAAGATTTTATCCTTACTCCATGTCTACTCAATCTTATGCTGAACAAATTATTTGAGAGTTTGGACTACATGAAGAAGAATGTGGCATCAGGATTGGATGAAGACTCATCAACAACATGCAATATGCAGATGACACAACCATGCTTGCTGAAAATGAAGAGGACTTGAAATGCTTGCTGCAGAAGATCAAAGCTACAGTGTTAAATACGGATTATATCTCAACATCAGAAGACAAAAAAAAAACCTCACTACTGGACCAATAGGCAACATCACGAGAGATAAAGAAAAAATCGAAGTTTTCAACAATTTCCCTTTAGTTGGATTCACAATTAATGCTCATGATAAGAACAGACAAGAAATCAAAATACATGTTGCACTGTAAAAATCTGCTGTCACGTGTCTCTCCAAAGTGTGAAACAGCAAAAAATGTCAGTTTAATTTCTACAGTGTACCTGGTCCAAGCCATGGTCTTTCCCATTGCTTGTTAAGCGCTTGAAAGTTAGAAGAAGAAGTCTTTAAATTGTGATATTGGATATCATAGAATATTATGGCCTGCCAAAAGAACAAATAAATATGTCATGGTGGAAATGCAAATAGGGTGCTCCTTTGTGGCAAAGATGATGAAACATTGTCTCACATATTTTGGGCTTATTGCAGCTCAGAAGGTGCTAGTCTTTGGAAAAGATATCTTGCTGGAAAAGGTGGAGGGTTAGAGAAAGAAAGGAAGCCCCTCAAGGAGATGAATTGACAGAGTGACTTGAACTTACATAAAATTGTAAGAATGGCACTGGATAGATCAGGATTCACATCTGTTGTTCATAAGGTCACAATGAGTCAGAACTGGCTTAATGACACCTAACTAACAATAGCAATTTGTGGATCTTATGTCTCTACAGAGAATGTACACAGTCAACTATACCAAACTGTTGTCCTCCAAGTTTATCCGTTCGTCTTCTGAAGTTTAGTAAATTTTCAATGCAATGAACAATAATGTTAACTTTAGTAGCATCAATAAAGCAATTTTTTTTTAAAAAAGATTGTTAAATAAGTATATATTGAGAATCCATTAAGTGTTAGTCTTCACTCTTAGGCACTTCCAGTATAGCAATGAAGGAAAGAGACCTTCATAGAGTTTATGTTCTGTCTTCCTTATCTGAAGAATTAGGCTTCCCACAGATTGCATCTCAGTATTATCTCTTCTCTCTTCTCACTATCCTGAGGAATTTAAACATATGTAAATGACCCTCCCTTGAAACTTGTTAGAATGTTAGGCAGCATCAATGTCTAACCTTAAAATCTAATTTTGAGTCCTTACAATTCTCTCATCCTATCTCTTTGAGTTGAATATCTCTAAACTAATAGATATTAGCCCAGTTTCTACTTAATTTGCTCCCTACCTTATATAAGACTAAACTTTAGTAGCTTAGATTAAGAACTTGTGCTGACATTGCAAAGGCACACAGTTCCAATTCACTATCTGCTTGATGGGAGAAAAAAAGAAGCTTTCTCCCATGCTATTTACTGCCTCTAGGCCAGGGGTGGGACCTACTGCAGGGAAAGCTGTGAGTCAGTTCCGATTTGACAGTACACAACAACAACAACCTTATATAGGCAATATTAGAACTCTTCAACTGTATTTCTACTAAAGCCTTAAGCATTAATCTTCAACTCCACATTCTTAGAACATTCTACCCATCGACATCTTAGTTGCAATAATCAGGTGCTAAATACTATATGTGAATTAGGGAACTGTGGTGATCTAGTGGATAGAGAGTTGCACTGTCAAGCCAAAGATGGGTGAGGTAGTTCCAATCCACCAATTGCTCCACATAAGAAACATGGGCAATCTTCTATGAGATTTACAGCCTCTGAAAACCCATTGGAGGGTCAATTATGACTTGTCTCTGAGTCAATGCCCATGAACAACATCATAGGAAAACTAATATAATCATGATTGATTGGTTATGCTCTGAGTTTTCAAGTCTACATTTTTTTAATTAAAAAATATCGACCTTTTATAAATTTGTTGACAAAATATTTGTGAAAGTGAAAGAGAATGTAGAATCTCAGATTCTGAAACTATACAATCATGAAGTCTTCAGATCATCTGCCATTCTCATAATAAAAACAAACATGTCTTCTTAGAATCTAACCCTTCTACCTACAACTTTTACCTATCTGCTTCAAACTTGTCTTCATTTTCTCCTGTCTCTGAGGGGGGAAAACTCACACAATTACCATCATACAACCAAAGTTAATCATGCTGTTTTACTTTAGAACCTATTCCATCTCCTGGAAGACCTTGTTCCACAAATTACTAATTCTTTATGGTTCAAGTTCTCCTGTTCCCTTGATTTTCCCCCCAATGTCCAAATGATTATGCTTCATTCGCCTTATATTACAAGTTTTAAAAAGAAAACCATCTCTGCTGTATTTTCTTTCTCTTCACAGTCAAGTGCATTTAAAGTGATTCATTCCTCTTGCTATCTAATTTTCTCATATTACTTCAGTCCTCAAGAATATATATAATGACTTCTCCTGCCATTCCTCTTTAAAAAAAAAGCAATTTTATAAAATCACCAATGACCTCATGTCTTCTTAACTAGTAGAGAATTTTCAATGCTTATTTTGATTTTTCTTTTATTGATCTCCTTTTTTCACTTTAAAATACTGTTCCCTATTAACTCTTCAAAGTATCAGTTTCTTTTGCTTTTCATTAACTTTCTTTCCTTTCTATTTTATTTTGCAATTTGTATAACAACCCCTTAAAAATTTTCTAAAGACTGTACATTTTTTTCAACATAAATTATAGAATGTTAATTAGCTTGTCATCAACTGTCTCCAATTTAATGATACATTCCAAATATGTGTATTTTTATGTAAAGCTGTAAGAATTTGCTCCTGAATGAACTCAATAAGCCTAGAGTTGAACTGTTGACTTCAACAAATAGATATTAACAACAATATTCAACCTTTGTTTCTAATGTATTCACACTATGATGGTAAAATACCCCTTTATCTTTTCTTTGGTTCAGATTCTATGAATTCTTTATTTCTTTTTATTTCTCTTAAAACTCACTAACTTTCCTGAATAGGTTTTTGTTTGTTCGTTTTTTAAAGTACATTAGGCTAAGATTTACCCATCATGTTTTTATTTTTGGCTTTTATTATTTTGTCAATATTATCCTTATTTACTAAGAGACTGATTCTTTTGAAGTCAGGTAGGATAGAAGGAGAATTGACGCCTTTGAGCTGTGGTGCTGGAGAAGAGTATTGAGTGTACCCTGGACTGCCAAGAAAACAAACAGATTCATCCTAGAGAGGGTTAAACCAGGCTACTCCTTGGAGGCAAAGATTCTGAGGCTTGTCTAACATACTTTGGACATGTTGTAAGGAGAGACAGGTCCTTGGAGAGGGACATTATGCTTGGTAGGGTGGAGGGACAGCGCAGAGGGGAAGACCCTCTATGAGTTGGATTGATTCAGTGACTAGGATAATCAGGATGGGTGTATCAGTGGCAATGCGATTGGCACAGGATAGAGCAGGGTTTAGGGCTGTTGTACATAGGGTCACTGTGAGTCACAAACAACTCGGCGGCACATAACAACAACAATAACATGCACTATTTTTAAGTGTTAAAAGTGAATTTTAAAGGGAGCTCTGGTGTTCTAGTGGCAAGAAGCTGCACTGCAATCCTGAAGGCATGTTCGAATCTACCAGACGCTCCTTTGGAGAAGGAGGGGCAACCTCTTGTACCAGTCAGATCCGATTTGATGGTACACAACAAGAAAAAATTAAAGTGAATTTTAAGCAAGATAATTTTGGAAAAAATATGAGTTTTGATACTGCTTATATACATTCTAGCAATATGTTATTTAAAATACTTGCAAAGTACTTCAAACCTTAGCTTAATCACACATGAAGGAAAACATTAATTTATGTAGATGGTAGTGAAGATTATAGATTATTTATGTAAATTATTTGATTCAGTTGGACATATAGTAAATCTTTATTTTATAGCAATTTCCACAGTCATTATAGTGAAAGTTGGGTTATTTCATTCTCCTACTTTATATTTTATTACCTACAAGAGAAAAATGGATTTTTACCAATATCACTCAAAATTTTAAAAATCTGACCTCGGTGTAACTGGTAAGACTCTAAGTCATCCCTCTTCATCTTTTCCCAAACCTAATGAGCTCTGGCGTATCTGTATGCCCACATACACCTTAACATCCCTGTTTGGAGGGTGACTTATGGACCTTCTAAAAACTTTAGGAGAAACCTCTCTCAATTCCCAGGAAGCAGAAGACCTAACTTCACTCTATTCTGATTGAACCCTATCCTCATCGTGGTTATGATCATCTACCTTTGGTTTGTTTGTGTCTGCTATTAGAGCGTATGTATTGGAGAGTAATGTTTATTTCAGAGAAGCAGACATTTAACATAGTAGGGGCTTAGTGCATACTGAAAGAATGGGTAAATAAACAACTGATTGCCTAGGGTGCTTTACAATGATGTTTATATAAAAATTCTTTTTCCATGTAATCACCTTAATTTTTTTATAAAACAATGAGCTGTTGTTGTTGTGATCAGGTATTGTCAAACCCAGTACAACTCATACGCCTCAGAACAACACATCTGAACTTTGTCCTTTGCTGTGTCACTCTCACAATCTGACACACTCAGGCTCATTGCTGCAGTCACTCTGACTGAATAGCAATAAATAATACTAGATAAATGTATTTGTATCTTATGATTACTTATTTAACTTCTAACACAATAAGAATATGGTGAGAAAAATCATTATCATATAACATATCCAAGGAAAGCATGTAGAAGCATTTTCTTTACCTGAAAATTTGGATGAACTAATGTTCACAGCAGAAAACAGCAGCTTCATTTGAAAGAATACAAGTAAAAGCAATTATGTTCTTTAAAGCTTTAGAACAATGCAACTGAAATATTGGATCAAAATAGAATGTAGAAGTTTGAAATTGAGCCCACCAACAAGTAAAAATAAGCTTTATCAAGCTTGACATTCTTTTTATAAAATTTCTGTGTTATATTTTACCCAAGTTAAATTGATGTATAGTGTTTTATAATTTTCTGAAAATTCAAATAACAATAGTCAGATTTTAAGCTGCTCTTTTCAATTATCTAGTCATTCATAATAGAGTTTAGCATTTATCTATATTACACCAAAAATAAAGTTTAGGCTAACATAATATTTCATAGCACAGGAAATTTCTTTAAGAATTTAACTCACGGCAACATTCTATACATACTTTATAAGCTCACAAAGTACTCCATTATATGTTACTACAGTTCTGTTTCTAATTAAGTGGAAGACTTTTATAGAGTGTTTTTAGCTAAATTTCTTGTTTTCCATCATGTTATTGACCTTTAGCTTTCTCCCAAATTCTTCCTATGCAATCTTTTTATATGCCTCTTTTCTTGTTTCAACTTTAAATACAGATGGAGCTGAAGACTGGAGTACTGAGCTTCTTTTTAAATACCAGTCTTGTCTTTACACAAGTGGATATAAGGCTGGGACTCTCCTATTGTGATGGAAAGTGGAATAAAGTAATAATGAGAAAAGAAGGCTCTGCCATATTGGCCAGCGTGAATGAACTGATGGAGCAAACATCACAGCCCAAGGCCCAGCCTCTGATGGTGAACTCTCCCATCTATGTTGGAGGAATCCCACAAGAGCTGCATAACACATACAAACAATTGAGTTTTGAGCAAGGTACCATCTACAGGCATTCACAATTTCATAAAGACTTAGAGTTACCTGGTATTTTGGTTCTCCATAAAGCAGCAGATTAAACTGAAACAATACCCACCCCTTCATCTTCCTTTCTCTTTTGTTTTTGTTTGTTTGTTTCTAAGGGGGTTTTTTTGAGGATTTTTGATGTCCTGCTAACCTAAAAATCTCCCTGGCAGTTAAAACCCACCTGCTGTTCACTAGGAGAAAGATGGCCAATATTCTTTGTGATTTACAGCTTCAAAAACCCAATATAGGTTCAACTGTGCATTGACTCTGCCCCAATGACAATTAAGTATGAGGGGAAAAAATTGCAGGACACTTCTAAGTAGATTTGCTGTCACCCTTTTAGGTATACTAATACATCAATTTATTATCAATATATTTTTTCTAATATATCTCCTTCAAATAATATTAATAATGTATATACATATGGTTCTAATCCTCCTTCTGTTCCCTGGAAGAAGGGTGGGCAATCTCCTTCTGTGCAATTAATTCTCTCTGAAAACCTACTGGATGGTCATCTATGGGTTGCTTCTGACAACAACAACAACAATTGTATATATGAATATAACTAAATATTTTTTTTAAAAAAATGCATGTGATTTCAGTTTTTGGGGTACTGATTACTATTTGTAGTCATACACAAAAATATACAGATATGTTGTTGTTGTTATGTGCCGTCGAGTCGCTTGCGACTCATAGTGACACTATGTACAACAACCCTAAACTCCGCTCTGTCCTGTACCAATCGCACTGTCTCTGACACTCCCATCCTGATTACCCCAGTCACTGAATCAATCCACCTCATAGAGGGCCTTCTTCTCCTGCGCTGTCTCTCCACCCTCCCAAGCATGATGTCCTTCTCCAAGGACCGGTCTCTCCTCACAACATGTCCAAAATATGTTAGACGGAGCCTCAGAATCCTTGCCTCCAAGGAGCCACCTGGTTTAACCCTCTCCAGGACAAATCTGTTTGTTTTCCTAGCAGTCCATGGTATTCTCAATACTCTTCTCCAGCACCACAGCTCAAAGGCATCAATTCTCCTATCCTCCTTGGTCATTGTCCAACTCTCTGATGCATAACAAGTGATTGCGAAGACCATGGCCTGTATCAGACACACCTTAGTCTCCAGAGAGACACCATTGCTCTTCAGTAGCTTGGAGAGGTCACTAACAGCAGACTTTCCCATGGCAATGCGCCTTTTAATTCCCTGGCTGCTAGTGCCAAGAGTGTTGACTGTGGAGCCAAGCAATCTAAAGCTGTGTACAATCTCAATCTCTTCACCATCCTTCCTGATGTTGCCAATTGGTCCAGTGGTGAGAATCTTTGTCTTCTTGACGTTGAGCCTCAATCCATATTGTAGGCTGCAGTCCTTGACACTCTGCAGCAGGTCTTCTTCAGTTTCAGCAAGCAGGGTTGTGTCATCCGCATAACGCTGAAAAAATGGCTGGCAAGTGAATTAATTGTTTTCTTTTTGAAAAAAATCTCAAACTCATTTTCTTAAGTTAGAATTTACTCCTAACTGATCCTCTAGCCAGTTGTCAGAGGCTGTCAATGGCACTGGAATAGATTTCCCATCTTTCTCTTGGGGAACAGCTGGTGGATTTGAACTGCCTGCTTTTGGGTTGGCAGCACAACATCTTAGTAGACCACCTGAGCTCCCTTTGTTATCTTTGTTGTGGTGGTACTGTTGAGTTAGAACCAACTCGAAGCTGACCCTTTGGTGGTTCTCGGAGGCACTTAATTGAACGGGAGGAGATTTCCCATTCTTCTCTCACGGAGCACCTGGCGGATTTAAACTATGTGGCTTCAGGATTGCAGTGCAGCTACTTACTGCTAGAGCTTCTATTGTTGTCTTTGTTGTATCAAGTCACTTGTGCCTCATAGTGACTCTATGCACAACAGCTCTGAACTATGCTCTATCTTGAGCCAATTTAATTGTCTCCAATACACTTACCCCTATTACCCCAGGCACTGAGTCAGTTCATCTCATGGAGGGTTTTCACTATTTATGTCCCTTCTTCTCCAGCGGAGCTCTCACAGGCAAAACACTTTAGAGAGTTGATGTAGTTGAGTTCCAAACATTCATGTGGAAAATTCATATACTGTTGATTTTTAACAAGGGTTAAACAACAACAACAAAGTGCTTTACTTATAACTAAAGTAAGCATCTAACTCATTCAATTTGACCTTAATCAGATACATTACTAATTGGTAAAAGGCTGTCAATAGTCAAAGGTACATTGTATTCTAGGAATGGTTTTGAGAATGATAGTTCAGAATAAGGAAGTCATCTCTTCATAATGAGTCAATTAATTTAAAGGGTGGAGAGGAAAGTAGCTTGCCCAAGGTCACATGGATCTAAAGCAAACTGTAAACTTAGGATTCTATCTTAGGCTGATACTAAAGTCTACTCTCTTCATTATAGTCAAGTGTTCTCTTTTGTGGATCCTTTTTTAGAAAGTAAGAATAAGTGAGTACAGGATATTTCAGCATGTGGCCAAGCAGGCTTCCATGTGGAAATATACTTTTTGTATTTAAAAATCTCTATACCTTGAATAGTTAAAATTTCCATGATATCGCCTTTTCCTATTTGGTAAGTACATAAAGATTTAAGTGCCTTTGAATAGAAAATATATGGCAAACTCTACAGAGACTTTTAGAAGGGTACTAGTAAGGAGTTAATGAATAACTGGAATATAAGACAGTAATGACATTTTCGAGGCACTTAAGATGTAACAGCAGCTAAAAATATTACATTCTTATAAAGGCTTCTCTAGGATTTCAGGTTTCTGAAATTAGAAAGAGCTTGTAAGCCCTTTGTATGAATGAGAGTACTTGATCTGATTTATATCTAGAAGTGAGATACACACACACACATACGAAACAAAAACTCTACACATCAATTGTGCTTTGAAAGTACACAAAAAACCCATTCTAAAAATGAAGTAAAAATGGAATTGTAAAATAATAAGGAAAGAAGTTTAAAACAGCTTAGATCCAAGAGGAAATTTAACCTAGAATATGACTAAATCTGTTGCACTGAGAGAAATCTTATTTACGACTCACACTAAAACTTTTATCATGTCACTATCATCCATATCAGCGCTTCTAAAGCACTGATAACATACTGAAGTATAGTAGCTAGAATATAGTAAGAACTCAATGAAATTATTATTATTATTACTATTCAAGATGCAAATTAATCGCCTGGAGATTTTGTTCAAAATGCAGCTTTTATTATAGCATCACCTAAAATTCTGATTCGGAGGCTTTGAGAAACATTGGTCTATGTCAAAAAGAGTAGTCATAGGACAAAATTACTAAATGCATAGAGTAAATACACTACAGTGAAAATGAATCATGCACGCATAATGTATTTTTCAGATCTGCTATATCGGATCTTAAAAAAATCTCTCTCCTTCCTTTTCTATGAGTCTTAATTAGCAACTCCCCTTCCCCGACTGACAAAGATAATTGTGCTATTATTTCTTATCCATTAATAGTATAGTCTTTCATTGAAAATTAATTGTCTCCTTCAGTTTGGAAATATTGGACAGCACAGTTTGCTAAAATTGTCTTACCTCATAGGAATTCTCTTAGGACTGTCTCTTAGGTCAAGCTTGGGAGTGACTGGACTAGACAGATGAATGCACAGGTTTTTCTCTGCCCATCGTACCAGCTGAGACAGTCAAGATAGGGCTGACTGCAGGCCTGTGTACCTGGTGCAGGAATTCTTTCCCCAGAAAAAAGACTATTAGAGGTTCAGTTAGTTTTTCAACCCAGAGAACCTGAAGGTTGAGGAACAAAGTGTGTCTTTGTTTAGTCTCAACAGCAGAAGAGCAAGAAAAAAGACCAGTCTTACATCTTCTGCCCACAAACATGCTTAATTCCTCTTTTTCATTCATATGCATTATTGAAAACAATGTTTTATTATGCTAAAATTACATATGTATGTCTATATATCTATAGAGAATGGAAATAAATGCACTCCTTAGAGGCAAGGATGGTGAAACTCTTTTCTCACATGCTTTGGGCATATGGTCAGGACAAACAAGACCTTGGAAAAAGACATCATGTTAGGGAAATGGAGGGTTAGAAAACGAGAAGAAGACCCTTAACAGGATGGATTGATGTAGTGACCATCACAATGGGCTCAAGCATGTTTGAGATGTGAGGATGGCACAGAGTAGAGCAAGGTTCAGATCTGTTATACGTTGTGCAGCTATGAGTTGAAGTTGACTCAATAGCACCCAACAACAACAATAATGACAACATAGGTCTACATATGTTGTTCAGATGCTTTTCCATGTAGTATAGCCATCATCACTGACTTTTAATAATTTTTTTACTTTTTTTTTTTTTTTTTAGTACAGAGGGAAGATATTTCTGGTGGGAGAGTGTCATCAGTTGTTAGGGAATTTGACCTTCTTTCCTGCTCATTCTGAGAATAGTGCAGTGATATACAGAGTACATGCACCTTCTCCTTTAACACCATATGTGAAGGATTAGTACTTATAAACTTCATTGATAGATCTGTGGATTTTTATATTTCTCTTTGAGACAAGAGAAGACTATCTCCATTACTTTTCCCAGAGCTAAAATTTTATCTCGTGAATCTAGTTTTTAGTTATAGCAATAAATATAACAATATTATATGACATAAATATATTAATTCCTATTTTGCTATTGGAGAAATTTAGGTACAGAGAATTCAGATAACTCAGTTGTGTGTTTCATCAGAGAATAGCTGCTGGTAAAGAAACTAAAATTCCTAGCCTCTGAAATTTTCAAGTAGATGTTTTATTTATTGAGCTGCATTTCTGTCCATTCAATCACCAAACCTATTGAGTATCTATATTCAATATTTAAGATACACTATCAATATTAATCTATTGGACCTAAACAAATCTGAGTAACAGAAAAGAAAAAGAAAAAAATCCAAGAGGAAATAGGCTCCAACTGACTGTGCTAGAAAACTACGTAAAGCATCACGTAAATGCTGAATAGAACACTAGAGTCGCCATTACTGTTAGCTTATTTTGTTGTGAAGGATTGCGTTATATTCTATTTTCATTTCCTGCTGTTGTGCTTTAGTCATGAGAATTGTTAATCATGTGTTTGGGCCTTTCAAATCTAACGATACCTTGTTAGAAAGGGTGAATATGCAGCTACCCAAGCTCAGCTCTGTTTGTGCCTTCTATCAAACTTTCATGCAGTTACCAGTGCAGAGTACTATCAAACCTCATGCTCTGCCTACCCAAAATTACAAGCAATTCAAAGTAACTACTCTTCCTTGGATTCTCTTTGCTTCTCTAACAAAACAAACAAACAAATGAACAAACAAACAAAAAATAGTGGGTGCTCCAAATCCATGTCATCTGCATTCTCTTGTTAAAACTAACAAATTACACCACACCCTGATCACTATAAAGAAAGTCACAATGTAGAACAAAATCTCACTTGAAACTTCAGGTACAACTATTTATTAACAAACTTGAATGCTGGTCTCTGCCTTGCTAATATGAATGGGAAACTGGTGATAATTTTGTATAGCCAAAGCTATGACACTCAATGAAAATAGTAAAAGATATTAACAGCTCTTTTGTATAGTTCTTTAGATGAGAGTAATTTCTGTTTCTCTGACAAACCTAAAATGAATAATAGTGGTGAGATTTTATCCCTTTGACTTTCCTGCATGAAATCTTCAGTATGTGTTTTGCTCAATGATTTTGTTGACTAGGTTAATTCAAATCTTTTTGTTTGCCAGATTAGAAACCGACTTAGTATAAACAACTTCATTTTACAGAATTGACAACAAGTGCCCTTACCTCTATCCTAATGTCAAGATGTCCACATGTTATTTTAACGAAATAAACAACGACAAAATACAGACCTAAATAGGTAAAAATGAAGGGTTTTAGTATTAAAAATGAAATGACAATTATCAGTCACTATATTTCCTCCAGAAAAAAATAGAAATAGTCTCATTGCTACATAAAATACCAGCTAGACACCAGAGGAAGCATAAAGAATATCCTAAACAGGATTTGATTTTAAATAAAATTGTGTTTAAACTTTTTTGTGTTTAAACCCCATCCCAATCCCATCAAAAGGTAATACTGCAGAGGACAACAATGATTGGTAATTAATGACTCAGACCCTTTATATGATACTAATCCCTTACTATTTGCTAGGTTTCGGTGGTTGCATGAAGGATGTTAAATTTACACGGGGTGCTGTCGTTAACTTGGCATCTGTGTCCAGTAGTGCTGTCAGAGTCAATCTGGATGGATGCCTATCAACTGACAGTGCTGTTAACTGCAGGGGAAATGACTCCATCCTGGTTTACCAGGGAAAGGAGAAGGGTGTTTACGAGAACGGTCTCCAGCCTTTCACAGGTAATGTGGGAGTTCTCCAAATTCCATCTCTCTTTTCTGCCTTTACCTTCCCTACTAGAATGCCACTGAGTTTACCTTCCCCACTAGAATACCACTGAGCCTGACATTTGTAAGATATCCATGTAATCAAAGAGGCCTAAAAATGAATTAAATAGAATAAAACACTAGAATACCACTGAGTCTGTATGAGTAATGTTTTAATCTTTTTACTTATCCTTTTCATTGAAGAATACCTTTACCGAGTGATAGCCTCACATGAAGGAGGTTCAGCATATAGTGATTGGAGTCGGGGACGCACAACAGGAGCAGGTAAATGCTATTTATCTTAAAATAGATAGATGCACACACATGCACATGTTTGTGCATATATGTTTATGTGTATAGACTGGACTACTCTTTGAAAAGAATAGTATTCTCTTGTCCCTCACTTGCAGAAGTTACTTTTGAAAGTCATCTCTTCCTTAAAAGCAGCTGTGTCTTTTATCACATCATGCAGATGTTTGCCATGGTGTTGACTGTTAGACTCTTACAATGATTCTCCAAGGATAAAGCTGGTAGGAAACTGCTGATTTGTCTACTTTTTTTTTAGTTGAAGGAGAAATTACCAGGACATCGGCATATGAGATCTAATTTGAGACAACTGACTTTTTTGGTGTTTTATACATGGAGCTGTGAGCATCCAATCTTAATGTAATGCCATCCTAGGAAGGTGTTCATCATTCAAAACTTTGTGTCAGTAGTCTTCTACTATTTTGAGCTATTTCCAAGCGTTTGTTACCTGTGCGCCTTGCAGACGTTTTATCCTTGACCAGTCACAATTTTTCTAGAGATGGCCTAGTCAAACTCTTCTCTCTTATTTATTATCAACAATGAGTTACCAGCTGAGGCATACTTTGAGGAATCATCATAACCTAGAAAAGAATTAAAAAAATACATATTTATTGCTATTGTGTGCCATTGCATTCTGAGTAGAAATGCATGTTAGAGTTGCTTTCCTAGGTTGTAATCGCTGTGGGAACAGATCAATAGGGCTTTTCTCCTGTGGAGCCGCTGGTGAGGTCACACTATTGGCCTTCGGCATAGCATCTGAGTGCCTAACCTTTGCAGCACTAGACTCTGAGATAGACTCCTAAAATGTTTTTTCAAGGCTTCTTTGCCCCAGAAGAGAGTCTCCAGAAAAAGACAAAGTGACACTTTTCTAGCAAGATTTAAATAATCATCTACTTATAGATAAGCTCAAGCTGAATGATTTCTGAAAATAATTCAAGTTTCAAAGATAAAGGCCCTAATGGACCATGTTCATTTGGTGCTGGCAGTTTCTCTGCCCCTATGTCACCTCTTTCTACCTGGTTAAAAAATATATTCCAGCATCTACTTCAAGTACAGGTCATCAGCGAGATAAGTGGATATAATTTCATAGGCCTCTCATTATTCTCCATTTAGGGTATCACCAAAAAAAGTTTGCAAATCAAAGTCTGAATTTATAGCAGTGATCTAAGAACTAAGTCTAAGGCCATAAATTCGTATTTACAATCTGACCACAACACTGAGCAGTTACATGCTCCCAGGGGTTAGAGAATAATTGCACGATTTAATTATTTTTGAGTCAGTTTTGCTCTGTCCCTTATGAGAGGACCATCTGTTAGACAGTACTGTACTTTGTCCTGAGCCACATTTCAGAACTAATAAAATCACCATCACTCCCCTTGTCCGTTTCCTCCATTGTGAGGCTGGTACTATTTTCAATGGGCACCGGTCATGTTTCCTGTCCACAGACAGCACTTGTACACCTGGGCTCTTCCTCTGCTCCTTTTTGCTCACTCTATTTTCCTGAAATTGTCCTCTTTTGTGGGTCTGAACAGTAAAGTCAGAGACAGAGGATATTTGATGTGGGAAACCCCGAGTGATCCTCCCCTGACAGGGCCCACGAGTACAGGAGCACTTAGTGCAGCTCGCTCATCCATCATCCTGCCACTGAATTCCTTGGGCTTCTTCTCAGTGTCCCCAGCGCAGTCAGCTGTGATGAAGCTGTTACTGATCAGAACTGTAGAAATGTCTAATAAACAGTTAAAGGTTTTGGATTTGTAAAATTAGAGGACCGTACTTGGATGTGAGGCTTTTCAAACCCTTTCCTCTGTCTCATTCAGAGTTATTGTTTGGAGAGACATTAAGGAAAACTTGTCTGTAAAAAATTTGGTACCATCTTAAGGGCACCAGTTCTCCTGCCTTCCAAAATGAAGTTGCAAATGTTTCCTGTGTATCTTATATGGTAGAACTTTGCTTGTCTAAAACACATATAGGGAAAAAAATTTTTGAAAAATAGCAACAGAAATTTAAGTCCAACACAATCACATTGTGCTATTTTTTAATTTTTTTTTGGCTAATACACTGAAGGTATAAAAATGTCAAACCACTATGTATAATAATAGTCTAATTATCTTGCTTCAAAGGGGTACATCATCATATTGCTTGAACTTGATATCTGCCTACCATCCACCTCCTTCTTTATGAGTGATGTTTAAACATGTCGGATACATTAAATGTTTTTGGAAAACCTGGACTAGTCTTGAAAGAATGTTATGTCGATGGAGTTTTGATGGGTTTGAAATATAGCTTAAACTGAATGGCTCAAGATGTGCAGTCATATTAAATCAATGCTGAAAAGTTACAACTGTAATAAATTGTATTTATGCTAATGGTTGTGTCTGATTTACTGCAGCCATTAAAAGTGAAGAATAGGGGCAATAGTCTTCTCTGAACTGCCATTTTCTCTCTTTTCTCTTTTATTCTTTAACAGCTCCGCAAAGTGTGCCAACTCCCTCAAGAGCCCACAGCATAGACGGATACAGCATTGAGGTGACTTGGGAGGAACCTGTTGTGGTTCGAGGTGTAATTGAGAAGTATTTTCTGAAGGCGTACACTGAGGAAGGACCTGAGTCATCTCTGGGGCCCTTAGCCTCGGCTGAGCTGCTCAATACCAGCATCCACACAGGTAAAGGTGGGTGCTTAAGAGGTGGTGTAAATATATCAGCTTCCATTTTATTTTTTAATAGGTACAGTAGTGTCTGTTTTCATTTTATTTTTAAAATAAGTGTTTCTTCTAGGTTTCCCAAAAATACATTGATATCTTAATATTTTATCTCTGTTATCTCTCTCTCTTTAGATAGATAGATAGATCATACATACATACATACATACATACATACTAGATAGATAAATAGTTGTTAGGTGTCATCAGGTTAACTAGGATGCATAACAACCCTACAAACAATAGATCTGAATTTTGCCCTATCCTGTACCATTGTCACAAACTCCTATAAACTCAAACCCACTGGTACAGTCACTGTGTCAGTCTATCTCCTTGAGAGTCTCCTCTTTCTCTGACCCTCCATCTTCCCCAGCATGATGGTTTTTCCCAAGAACTGCTCCTTCCTGACCACACACCCACAGTAGATAAGGTGAAGCCTCACCATTCTTGCATCTAAAAAATAATGCATTTGCACTTGTCCCAAAACAAACTTGTTCGTGTTTTTGGCAGTCCATCAGATAGTCTATTTCTTTCTCCAAAACCCCAATTGAAAGGCATCAACTCTTCTTTTCACCTCCTCATTCATTGTCTAACTTTCAGATGCACAGGGCTAACTGAAAAAAACCATGACTTGGGTCAGGTCCATCTTAGTCTTTAAACTTACATCCTTGCCCTTTATGACTTTAAGATTTATGACAACAGATTTTCTTACTGTAACAAAACTTTGCTTTCTTGGTTACCATGAATGTTGATTGAAGTTGTTAATTTCACTTTTATTCACAATCCACAATCTTTTCGCTATCTATCATAGTGTTGTCTACGGTCCAGTGGTGAGGACTTTTATTTTCTTGATGTTGAAATAAAATTCATATTGAAGGCTGTAGTCTTTGATCTTCTGTAGCAAAGGTCTTCTTCACTTTCAGGAAGCAAGTTATTGAATCTTCTTTCAGTCCAGATGCCACATTGTTCTTCATATTGTCCAACTTCTTTAATGATTTACTCAATATATAGATTGACTAGGTGTTGAGCAAGAATACAACTTTGATTCACACCTTCCCTGATTTTAAACCATGTGATGATTCCTGGTTTTGTTTGGAAAACAACTTCTTGGTCTATGTATAGGTTTTGCATGGACACAATTAATTGCTCTGAGATTTTAATTTTTCCCAATGTTCCCCATTATTCGCTATGATACACATGGTCAAATGTCTTTACTTTGTCAATAAAACACAAATAATCTCTTTCTGGTATTCTCTATTTTCAGCCCAGTACATCTGACAGCAATAATATCTGCCCCTACCCACAGCCTCTTTTGACTGCAGCTTGGAATTCTAGAAGTTCCCTGGTGACATGCTGTTCTAGCCATTTTTTTTTTTTTGTAATCTTCAGCAAGGTTTTACTTGCATGTGTTATTAGTGATGATGTTGTTGTTGTTATGTGCTTTCAAGTCACCTATGACTCATAATGACTATATGTACAATAGTTCTGAACCCTTCCTTATCCTGAGCCAGTCTCGCTGACTCCAGTACACCTACCGTCATTATTACCCCATTTACTTTATCGATCCACTCTGTCTAAGGTCTTCCTTTCCTATACTGGCCCTCCACCCTTCCAATCATGTTGTCCTTCTCCAAGAACTCGTCTCTCCTGACCAGTATGTGAGACAGAGCTTCAAAATCCTTGCCTCCAAAGAGTAGCTTGGTTTCACTCTATCTAAGACAGACCTGTTTTTTCTCTTTGCAGTCTATGGTACATTCAATAATCTTCTCTAGCACCACAACTAAAAGACATCAGTTCTTCTGTCATCCTTAGTCATTGCCCAGCTTTCTAATGCAAAGCAAGTAATTACAAAGTCCATTGCATGGGTCAGGCACACTTTAGTTCCTAGATTGACATTATTCCATTTGGCACTTTGGAGAGGTTCCTAATGCAATTTATCTTTTGATTTCCTGTCTGCTGGTACCAAGTGTTGATTGTGGAGCCAAACAAGCTGAAATTGTTAACAACGTCGACCTCGTCTCCATCTATCATGATGCTGCCAGTGGAGAGAATCTTTGTCTTCTTAATGTTGAACTTCAATTCATATTGAAGACATCAGTCCTTGACCTTCTGCAGCAAATACTTCAGGTCTTCTTCTAATCCTCATGCCACATTTCTCCTCATTGAGTCCAGCCTCCCAAATGATCTATTCTGAGTACAGATTTAAAAGGTGTGGGGACAAAACAAACTGTAGCTAACTCTGAGAAAAAGAGGAATCCCAGAACACTTGATTGTCCTTATGTAAAACCTGTACTTGGACCAGGAGGCAGTCATCAGAACATAACAAGGAAACACTGCATGGTGTACTCCAGGGTTGAGTCCTATCTCCATACCTTTTCAGTTTATGTGCAGAACAGATCATCTGGGAGGCTGGACTCTGTGAGGAGGAATGTGACATCAGGATTAGAGGAAGATTTATCAGCAACATATATTATGCAGAGACACAACCTTGCTTGCTAAAACTGAGATGGACTTAAAGCACTTGCTTCAGCAGCTCAATGCTTGCAGCCTTCAATATGGATTGAAGCTCAACATCAAGAAAACAAAGATTTTCACCACTGGGTAGATTGGCAACTTCATGATAGATGGTGAAGAGATTAAGATTGTTAACAGCTTCAGTCTCCTTGGCTCCACAATCAACATTTCATACCAGCAGCCAGGAAATCAAGAAATGAATTTCACTGGGAAAGATAGCTGTCAGGTATCATTCTGGAAACTAAGGTGTGCCTGATTCAGGCTATGATCTTCACAATTACATACTATGCATCAGAAAGCTGGACAATGACTAGGGATAGTAGAAGGAGAATTGATGCCTTTGAACTGTGGTGCCAGAGAAGAGTATTTAATATACCATGGACTGCTAGGAGAATAAATAGATTCCTTCTGGAAAGGGTGAAACCAGGCTGTTCCTTGGAGGCAAGGGTTCTGGAGCCCCATCTGACATACCTTGGGCATGTTGCAAAGAGGAAAACAGTCCTTGGAGAGGGACATCATGCTTGGGAGGGTGGAGGGACAGTGCAGGAGAAGAAGACCCTCGGTGAGATGGATTGACTCAGTGACTGGGGTAAAGGGGTAGTTGTGTCAGAGACAATGAGGTTGGCTCAGGATAAAGCAGGGTTCAGAGCTGTTGTACAGAGGGATGCTATGAGTCACAAGAGACTTGATGGTACATAACAACAGTAACAACATTATCTCTATCATCGCTATCTCCATCCTTGTCTCTATCTCTAATCTCTCTCTTTCTCTCAGTCTGTCTCTGTCTGTCTCTCTTTCTACACACACACACACACACACACACACACACACACACTTATATCCTGTTTCAAACAATATCAACAACTATTTACTTAATCATATGTGTTGAAAAACTGAATATCCCTACAATAGGAACAGGAAATCTTGATATGATTAGCATTCTATTAAATAAAAAACGAAGGGCAAGTCTGCACTATGCATGGACTCTAATGGAGGGATACATTTCAAAGCTTATATTCTCCAATGCCCAGAAGATTTGGCCTTAGGTAGCTATACTCAGTTGACAGTCCATCAGCACCTTTTCAGTAGTAATATGCATACTACATACAGGGGCAGCGTATGTAGTTCACCATGCAAAATTTGCACTTTGGGACTAGTCCAAGTTCATACCACCGTACATTATTGTAAAATTGCTGATTAAACCTAATTATCTCAAGGTGGAGGCATATTAGGGAACCAACAGTTTGAGTGGCAAGCCCATGAATCAATTTCTTACAGTGTGGTCTACCATGCAGAACAACTGGAGGGGAGCATGGGCATGTGAGTACACTGACGTGGTCCACAGTCAGCAAAGTGCATGTGAATATAGTAAGAGAGTATGTTGCAGTTTTACAGAATGTTAAAGCAGACTTAAATGGAAACGCAAATTTAAGTTTTTGATATAAATTATATTAACAAATGTAATTGGGATAAATTATATCAACAAATGTAAATGAAAAGGCAAATTATACCAACAAATCTGATAGAAGAATATTTTTCTCATCAAATCACTTTATAAATTGAAAAACTGGATGACTTTGAGATTAACTTTAACTGTCTTACCAAAACTTTTTTTTCCCGGTCATCATTTCTCACGCTTTTACTTCTGTCTGTAGAGTCTTTAAAATCTGCCATCCAATATATAACCAATTTTTAAAAACTCACCTTGTTTCTTTGCCTGTCTTCTCTTTCACCAATCTGACAAAAACTCAGCCTTGATTAATTCTACATGAGGATGTTTTGACCCAAGTTGCAAATGGGAGTTAAACATGATGGGAAAATTAAAATTAACTAAAAAGCCTCAATTCCAGATTCGAAAGGGTACTCAATATTAAAGATAATCACCGTATTTCTTTAACAAACTTTCTCCTAACAGAAGAGTTCCTTTCCTTTTTTGTCTTTTTTTTTTAATTTTTAAATTTCTTTTAATGGAAGTTTACAGAGATTTTTTATTTCCATTCATTCATTGTTGCACAATTTCCTCCCTGCCTACCCCTCCCCCCAGTTCACTTTTCTCTTTGAAAAGTAAAACATATTTCATTGTTATACAATCCCCCCACCCTACCGCCTTAGTCCACTCCACTATGCAGCTTTCATTCTGAACCCTTGTCATGACAATAATACCTAATCATATATTCCTCCTAAACAGTTCTTTTCCTCATCTGTTTCAATGCAGTATACATTATTTATCCCCTCTTAATTCCCCTCAACCTTGATGTCAGTCCCGCTGTACAACAGTGGCACCATGCAGTATTTGTCCTTTTGTGACTGAAATATTTGACTCAGTACAGTGTCCTCCAGGGTCACCCATTTTGCATAATATTTTATGAGGTCCTTATTTTTCAATAGCAGCATCGCATTGTGTGAATATACCACAGCTTCTTTATCAATTCACCTGGGTTGTTTCCGAC